GGCACTACGACTAGGAGAACTATTGTAATTTCCTCTTTTAGTATAGAGTGATCATATACCTAATGTGTTATTCAACTTAGCTGTCCTTAAGAACTTAAAAACCACTACTGGACTTAGAAATAATTATTCGTACAATGAAATATGAAATATGACATAATTAGATAATTGTAGATAACTGTAGTTTATATTGTCTGAAATCTAAGCACTACTGTTCATAATTCTAACACCATTACTTCTTCCTCTCTGGGTGCTACCCATTTGATCGATAGCTAGCGTTTATGCTTGGATAATGTGTGGATGTTGTTCTAGATGGCTTACATCTTTTATTCTTGGCTTAAATATTCCTACCACTCTAGTATTTTCGATCTTTGAACTATTAGCTTACCATATAGTTGCACTTTTTTAAGCAAAATACACTGTATTATTTCAGAACATTGCGGTAAATATGTAATAAAGGGGTTTTTAGAACAGTAGTGAACTACAACAACAAGAATTTATTTTATATTATTTTAATTAATTGAATTTTTGGCTGACCATACAGCTGTTTTGAGTATTGCCAAATACCCATTATCAGTGGTCTTGAAAATAATTCTTGTATTTAATTATTCGTAAATAATTTTTTTTTTGTAACTAAAATAATTATTAACACTGAAATAAAATGTACTCATACTATGTTTTTGACTAATTAGGTATGTATTTTTAATTACTAGTTAATTTGTATTTTGGTATATACAATAAGCAGTATTAATAATTATTTTTCTATATAAGTCTCCACCCCATCACACGGTGGATTTATTTACATAACTATATATCTATAACAAGTAATTTATATTATACTAAATGAATAAGTTAAAACTAAACCAAATGCATTGATTTTATAAATCAACTGATACAAAAATTATACATACATATAACAACATTAGAGGTTGTTCAACCCATAGCTAATTTGTCAGTACTCTCCGGCAATTAGTTGCCTACAAAAGCCTCAACAGAGTAATTGATTACACCGTAAACTTATTTAAAAATTATTCGTGCCTACTTTTTTCATTTATATTTAATTATCAAACAGATTTATTCATTACAAAGAAATAATTTGTTTGAAACAATAATGAAACTTAGCTGTTCAAAGAAAATTTATAAAATTATTAACTGGGAATTTTATTTATTTTTAATTAATTTTTTAAATATCATACAAAAAGAATAAATTAAAAAAAAATTTCAAAAATATTTATTAGATTTGTTAATGCAATATATTAGAACTAAAAATAAATTGTTCTGATCCGGGTGTACTTTCCAGATTGTGTGAGACTATCCGTTTGTTAACTAAAATAAATTTTTTTTATTTAAATATATGAGGCAAATAAGTCTAAGTATTTTTTATAAAACTCATCGGTAAAAAACGTATTATCTTGTACTACATAATCACGCTTTCGGCAATTAATTTACGTACTTAAGTGAATTTATACAAAATATCAAAACAAAGAATCTTGAAGAAGAATTTCATATTTTAATGTGGTCATTAGTTGTAATTTAAAAAAGAAAAAAATAATATATAAAAATTTAAAACAAAAATATTTTATAGAATAATAATTATTTTTAAACTCAAACAAAGTTATCAACTGTCAGTGATGGCAGTTATTTAGTGAAGACAATTAGCATATCATTAATAATAATGAAATGAAGTCATTTCATATCGCAATTAATTACAAACCGGCAACTTAGATGACGTATACTTATTTTAATATATTTTAAAGACCACAAAAATTAATTTTACTTTATTAAAATTATAATTAATCTGCAAAACACATCACGGTTTAGTGCAAAAGATTTTATTTAATTATACTGTGTCACTCATACGCACCAGGATCCAAGAAATTTTGATTTATGCGCGAAATTAATTCCAACAGAATAATTTTAAGTAATTTCTTAATTTAAAAATATTTTCTATTTTTAAGAGCTCTATGAAAATAGTAAAGACAGTAAATATTTTTATAGGCGCTAGTAAAAGATACTTTTATGAAAGAGGTATTTGATGTTAAAAAATGTTATTGCAAAATTTATAGCTTTTATTTTTAGCTTTGCAAATTTATTTTTATTAGGTAATTCATAACTGAAGGCATTATTAAAGACTACAAATTTGTATTTATTCACATTATCAACTTAATTCTTTTTTTTTTGTTTTTTGCTTAATTAATTTCATATATTGCTGCAAGAAAAAATTTTAGCAATTAAATATTGATGAATTGCTTGAATAAATTCATTCATGAATTCGATTTACATTTAATTAGCTGCGCATTTTTAATTAACGTCATCGCAATGCAATATACTGGATTCAGAATATGTGAAATCAATTTTTTTTTATGTTTTAATAATAACAATTATTTATAATCACTAATATGAATTGTATGAAGTAACAAATTATGACAATTATTACGTGAGGGATTCATCTGAAAAAATTACTTATAAAACATTCGTCTTTAAAGCTCGTATTCTGCGCTACAATATCAGCATTGACTTGCAGTTCTTGTAAATCTTAGCTTACATCAACAGCAGATCCAATTTGAGTTTAAGTAAATGAATTTAAATGCTAAGCCTATCTAACTCTCGACATAAAAACTGAGTCCAATTTTGACTTTTCACATTTATAAATGAAATGCGATTGTGAAATGAGGCAAGACGAACAAACTACAACATATTGACGAAGATGAAGGGAGATTGTTCCATTTTACTTATATATAGTCAATTGTTACTCGTAGATGTTTTGGTTAAGGAAATAAAAAAAAATATCTAAGCTAAGTTGGTTAATTGGTAATGTTCAAAAAATTAATTACTTTACATATATTTTTAATATATTAAAAAAGTGTTGCAAGTTTATAAAAAAAAAATTATATTAATTATTTTATTGCATATGTGGTGTAAAGACTTTTAAGCATATCGTGGAAAATACTACATGAACTATCAAATATCGATTAGTGTAAAAGGCATATGGGTCAATTTGGCTTCATCATCTCCGATTTGATTGAAATTGTTTGTATGAGCTGCTTTCATAAACCTTTAACTCGGAAAAAGATTTTGAGTTTCCTAGAAGATATGGGCTCATGGAGTTTTGACAATTACCAAACACATTTTTAATACTTTATTCAGATAGCCAAATTTTCTTAATTTTGTAGAAATAATATTAAGTTAATTTCGAAAGTGTTCATACTATCTCAAATTAAGAAAATCCAGTGTGTTTTGTTTACAATTACATGGACCAAATATGTCGAATGTTATATTATACCAATAAAATATGGCAGTCAATAGTTTTATTAGCTTCAGTGGATTTCAGGTATGTGATTAATTATTTTTCACTCTATTTTAAATTAATAACAGTTACAGTCCCTTGTCTATATTTAACATAAATTTAAAAATATGCACTACTTTCAAATTATTTTCCCGGTTTTATTAAATTCAACTGTCATTGACATTTATTTAAAAAAAATATCATTTTTTCGTTATCTCAACTTATCTTTTGCTTAAAATTTATCTTACGCATAGTTGCATTTGAAATGTCCCTTAATTTCAGCCTTCGTTTCAAAAGGAAAAAATTCTTAATTTCGTTCTAACCTAAAAACAGAATTTTGTGTGGACAAAACAACTTAATTTCGCTGAAACGAAGATGAAATTAAGATTTTTGCGAAATTAAGTTCTGTCCGAACATAGTATAAATGTCTATATACATAAGGCAAGTACAGATGATATATCAAAATCGAAAACTACCAATGCTATCATTGTCTGCATATGATACATGCATTTTTTATGCTGATAGGAAAGTAAAAAATGTCAATAGTTGAAGCATATAGAGGAATAAATAGAAAATAGAGATTTATGTAATGAAAATTAATAAAAAAACATTAATGTAAAATTGAAAGAGAGCTAAGAATCTCTGAAGCAGCCTATATATAATAAGCAATAAATTTGGAAGGCATAAACACGTTCGTATGTATTGATCCAGGCGCTTTCGATAACTACTCAGGTGTGGATAAACAGAACTTTCTGTAAGTTCTTAAGAATCATTCATTCAATGTCTTACATTAGAAAGCCTTTTCTTTTGCAAAGTACTTTGCTTTCATATTTGTGAGCTGGTAGCTGGCAATTATTTATTTATTTATTTTTTTTGAATTTGACAGTTTAAGCTACGATAGCAAAGGAGATTTTTTACGTTGAAGAATTACAGAAACCCCAGAGGAGTCTCAATTTCAAAAGCTGTCCTAAAAAGGCAGCATTTTTCAATAGATATTTTCGGTTTTTGACATGATTTGATGTGTTTAACCCTTTGGATCTAAATATGTGCTTTCCATGTAAAGTTTCTGTCAATATTTAACTCATTTCAGAAAGTTGTCTTATATTAGATTAATGTAATGGTTTTAAGTTGTAAAATTCACTTTGGTCTTAATAAAATTGGATTTTCCACTTTCGTAGGTAATCTAAAGATACACTTATGTAGCTTTGAGTTCTGTTTATGTTATTTTTTATTTCTTGATCTGAACATAGGATGCAAGTACCTCTACAAGTAACAAGAGTTAACAGTATCTCATTTCAAATATATTTAGAGTTCACTTGGAACTCTGTAATCATTATAAAACAAGCATAAGCTAATATTTGCTTATTTATTTTTATGTCTTCAAAAGTATTAGTATTTAGCAGAATACTAAATTATGAAATTCAGTAATTTTTTTTAATAAAAATTTTTAATGAACGAAACTTTATTTTAATATATTATTTTTATATCTTGAAGTTCATAAAATATTTTTAAAAGTTATTTAATTAATGTGATATTCACTATTAGTTTAAATTTAATATTAGGAAGCTTAAAATCATATTATATTTTATGCATTTTTAAAAATTAATTAA